AGAGAGAGAGAGAGAGAGAGAGAGAGAGAGAGAGAGAGAGAGAGAGAGAGAGAGAGAGAGAGAGAGATCAAACACACAGCCAGAGGTTGAGGGAATCAAACTCAGGTTAGTGGCCCTGCAAAAACATACGTTAAGTAGCTAGCCAAACACACAGGCATCAGCCTGAGGATTCGAACTCGTGGTCTGGTGACTAATACATGGGCAGGGCTTTTCTCTCTCTTTTTCCTTTTCTTTTCTTTACCTTTCTTTTTGTTAGGTGGCCGAGAACCTGAGCTCCTGACTGTGCACTTCTGTCTTTTCCCGGACGAACACCCAGTCATTGTAACTGTATTTGATCCAACTTTCAGTCTAAATACTGCCATAATAACCAGGTGCTCTAGTTCAGGTGAAGACCGCAGGGCTTTAGAACCTCCGTTTTCCAAGAATGCACTGCACTTGCAACCTTATTTGTATATATCATAACTGTATTTGGGCCAACATACAGTCCTTGTGCATGGCAAGGACTGCATTCCCTCCTCCTTTTTTTTTTCTCCTTTCTTTCTTTCTTTCTTTCACCTTTGGTCGGTTACTGCTGAGGGTTCTTTAGGTCCACTTGAATCTCTATGGAAACAGTGGAGCTGAGTGGGCACTTCCCCCCCACCGCGCCCCCCCGTTTTTTGTGACACAGATCACCAAGGTGTACCTGCTTTATGTTTGATCGGGACAAATTATGTACTTGCGGATAAAGTTCAGAATAGTTCCGATGAACATAGAGCAAATTCAAATCATAATCAATACATCAGGGGCTCTCGATTTTTGTCAAAAAGTTGGGAAAAAAAAAAAAAAAAGACTAGACACGTGGGTTTAGGGTTTAAGACCGGGGAAAGAGCAGGAGAAGAGGATGAAAGGGTTTTGGTTTCTGATTTGAAGAATGTTTCATTGAAAGGGTTTAATAACTTCAATTGCTACATTGCGAGCGGGAGGGGCTCTGCTAAAGAGTATGGGCTTGACGGACAGTCAATCCTTCCTGGAGGGAAGCAATCAGTCTGTCAAGGTTTACCGGGCCGTAACGTGGGGAAGCGTAAAATAGTGTTCTGTATTTCCTATTTCGGTTATTGGCTCGCCAGTGGAAAATGAAACGGTTTTCACCTTTTTGTAGTCATAGATGCGGGCACTAGAGTTCGATCCCCAGACCTTATGTTGCCCATGTACAGTATCGAGTCGACCCCCGAGTGTTTGAACCCGTGACCTGTGTTGCGATAGTTGCTTGTTTGTCTGTCGTAGGTCTGTGTAGATGCTGGGGTTCAATCTGTAGGTCTATCGAATAGGGGTCACGGCTTTGTAGAGGTCGTAGCTGTCGGTGTTCTGAGAGGTCAAGGTCGTAGCTGCTACAGTCCTGAAAGGTCAAGGTCGTAGCTGCTACAGTCCTGAAAGGTCAAGGTCGTAGCCGCTACAGTGTTCGAAAGGCCAAGACCGCAGACTTCTGGAAGGTCCGGAAGTGGCCTTTCGAAGTTGTCTCACATTTAGACAGAGGCAAGTGGGCTAGTGGTGAGCCCAACTGCGTTGAGTTGGCAGTGTAACTGCGTTACGTCGGCAGTGCGAATGCATCGAGTTGGCAGTGCAAAACCATGCAGTCAGCGGTACCGGTCCCAGTCAGTCACAGTCCAGTCAAGCAAGTACCGTGTGGAACTGTGTGCACCAAGGGCCTGGTGGAAAGGGGCAGACCAACGAGTTACAGAAGGAGGCAGCGCTCAGCCATTCATTCATTCATTCGCTGCGTAAGCCATGCGGAAGTGCTGCTACAGCGACTTGTGCGAAGGCGGTCTGCAGGTTGCCCGAGGAAGAAGTGGGCTGAGGAGAGATCGTAGCCATAGTTAGTAGTGGTGGAGCGGCCATAGCCGCTGTAATGTTAGAAGTTAGTGAGTGTGTACAAGTGAGTGTGCGTGGGTGTATTCAGGGTGATCTAGAGTTGAGTGCGGGTGACAGTGGTGTCGGACACCGTAAAGAGAGTTGCGATGTTCAGGCGCTGATGCGCCATAGTCTGTTGAAGCGAGTTTACATCTGAACTGTGTTCTCGGTTGCCATATCTCTGAGCTTTGTGTGGGCGCTGTGCGCCAGTGTGAATCGCCATCTGTTTGCATGTATGCGAAGTGGAAAGAAAAGCGAGTCTGATTGCAAAAAGGAACTGGACTGATGCTCCCCTGAATAAAAGGAGCTGGATCGCTTTTTTTTTTTTTTTTTTCAAACCACCACTACCTTTCGAAGCTCTAGTGAGTCTAGTCCCATTTGGGAAAATGTCCTCATCCAAAAAAATCGCCGCCGCGCGGCCGCTGTTATTTTTCATCAGCGGCTAGCGGCCTCTGAAACCAGTGGGACCCACCCCTCGGCCGAAATATGAGAAAGGTAGTGGTGGCGGTTTAAGAAGAAGAAGAAGAAGAAGAAGAAGAAGAAGAAGAAGAAGAAGAAGGCTACACTGAAGAAGAAGAAGAAGAAGAAGAAGAAGAAGAAGAAGAAGAAGAAGAAGAAGAAGAAGAAGAAGACGTGATTTACAAGTTTTGCGAACATTCACTTACAATGACTGCAATGAGGTTTCGAGGTTCAGGTACTCGTGAAGTGCATCCCACACGCAGATATTCTCATTTTCTTCTAGCTTCTTCTCTTCCAACTGCTGCTGACACATGTCTCCTTGTTGTTGGTCCATGATGTCCTTCCCTTTACCCCTGAAGCTTCCACGTGTGTTGCTATCCCTGCTAATCGTCATGGGAGAACCCGCGCCTGAACCTCCTCCTTCTCTGGGCCTGCACGTACTCGGCAGAGCCTCAGAACCGGTCGCCATCACAGTCAGCAACTGTCCAGCAGCAGATCTCGCAGGCCGTGCATGTAATTTGTCTTTTGGATTGTGGAGCTGAACTAACACATCTTCAGGGCCCTGCAATTGCAGAACAATTTGAACAACTTGTCAAGGAAGGACATAAAATAAATTTAATAATGCAATAATGAAATGATGAAAAATCATTCAAAAATGGAAATAATGAAATAATGGAATAATGAAATGACGAAATAACGAAATAATGAAATAATGAAATAGTGAAATAATGAAATGATGAAATAATGGAATAAATTCAAATAATGAAATACTATAACGAAACAAATGAAAATTAATGAAAAATGAAATGTATGACAATATTCAAAAAATGAGCAAAATTCTACAAAGTGCGAGGCTCAAGGCCTCGGTAAGCCCTTTTGGGCCTGTTCAGCAAGTAAGGCCGCCCAAAGTGAAGGAGGGCCCTGACAAGTTACGTGAGGCCTATTTTTGTGTTTTCCGCAACTGGGGAAAATCAGACTGTTACGGACCGTCCGTTGGTTGAGTGAGCCTACGCCGTGAGTAACAACATCTGGTTTGGGCTTCTAGTCTCTTCCTGAAAGAATCGGACGCAGGCTCTGGGCCAGACACGAGCCACAGACTGTACCCAGCACGCCTGGCAGCTGGACACGTGTAACTGCCAGAGTCCTTCGGAATATTCCCCTGGGACAGAGGCCCAGCAAAAAGGGGCCTACCGGAAGCTTCTGGGCAGAGGCTCGGACCAGCCACACAGATCACGACTGGCAGCCACTTTCCATAAATGAAGGGGAGCCAAGTATCTGGGTTCCAAATTCTCGTTTGCAGATGCGACCATGAAATCGAACGTTTGGAGGCCATCAAGGCTGACTCTAAAATTCGCTTTATGATAGACAAACAGGGCCATGCATTTTAAAAATAACAATTTGTATATAGTCTTCTTTCAAAAACAAGTATACCAATCTATACTCAAAAACTCTTTCCAAAATGGGCCACTGGCTGGGCATTCGGGCACTCGCTGCATCAAGCGTAAGCGCTGCTGCGTTAGCTTCCGATCTGAGTGGCCAACGCGCTCACGGGCGAGCAGGGTTGCACGCAGGCAGGCAGCCATAGCCGGGCTTGCCTGCTCATTGCTGGATGACACACATGGTGGTCTTCGGGTGCATGTGGTATCTGTGTGGGGGACCACGCAGGTTGTGAGCGTGGCGAGGACATAGCTCCTGGTGCTTGATGCGGACGGCATTGGCCAGGATCTGCTCGTACTTCGGAAAGCTGTTGACGTCACCGGCGGCATTGTAGATAGGCTGGATATGATCTGCCAGTTGTAGTCTGGGCACCGAGCGCCACATAGGGGAACGACATTGGTCCATGAGTGATGATGACGAGACTATTTCAACATTGTCCTTTGTGAGCTCTGCTGTGCTCTTATTTGGTGTATTTTGTGGTGCAATTCTGCTTTTGGTTCGAGGTCGCGACTATCTGGTTTCATATGTATCGTGCGGCTTGGTTTCTGTATTTCGCTATCGCTCATTTTCCTTGCAAAAGCGAAACATAATGAAAATTAATGAAACAATGAAAATTACAATGAAATTATTTAGATAATGATATTAATTAAAACAAGGACACAAAACGAAATAAGATCGAAATCCACCATTATAAGTGAAATATTAGAAATAATAATGAATGTAATGAAAGTGATTAAATATATACTGAAATGCAACGACTCTCTGCTGCTTTGGGCTTTTGGACCCTTTTTGTGCTACCGATAGTCCTTGCAGGTGGTGTTGGTCGCCGAGGACGGTGCCCTTTTTTTTTTAAGTGGTTATGCAACAGGTGGGACGTGGGGGGCGGCGTGGGGCAGGGGTGAAGATGATAGTCAGCAAGTGCATCTACACTACCCAAAAACATCATGGATGCTGCAAATGGGCGGCAGCATTATTTTCTTTTTCTTCCTCTTTCTCCCTTTTTTTTTTTCTTTCAAGAAGTAACACAGATTATCCGATTTTGCGTGCCAGTGTGAGTATGTCCTCACGGAGGCAAATAAAGAATTTTTCAAGCACCTCTCAAGAACCTGTACGTTATTACCAGCTCGGCAAAAAAGCATGTCATCAGCTCCGACTCAATGGGCTTGGCTGCAAAGTGCCCACACCAGCATGTGCTGCGGCCAAACCGCAGCACAAGCACTCAAGCCCTCACCTGTATGGTGAAGCTCCGGCATTATTGTGGGCTTCAACAGAAACGGAGACGGATTGATGATGAAGTCTAGATAAAGGGTGACAGCACCCTCAGCAGTCACTCAATCAGGACCTGCACTCCGAACCCTGCGCACTCAGCAGTCACTCAATCCTGACCTGCAGTCCAACCCTGCAGTCCTGACCTGCACTCAATCCTGACCTGCACTCCATCCTGACCTGCAGTCCTGACCTGCACTCAATCCTGACCTGCAGTCCTGACCTGCACTCAATCCTGACATGCGGTCCGAACCTGCAGTCCAAACCTGCACTCAATCCTGACCTGCAGTCCTGACCTGCACTCAATCCGACCTGCAGTCCGAACCTGCACTCCAACCCTGCAGTGCAAACCTGCACTGCTAACCTGCTACTAAATGGGGCAGTGATGAAGGTTTGACTTTTTTAGCAGGTTCTGACATTCTTTATACCACGATATGATAAATTAACTGCTTTCCCTAAGGATGTAGAGTCCACTATTGTCGCATTAAAAACACCGCTCTGAGCAAAAAAGCACACACTTTCTAGTTTGCAACTTTGCACACACTTTCTAGTCTCTCTCCCTATGGTCCCCAACAAACCGTCATCAGGATGCATTGTGTTTGGGAGCCTGCAGAAGGCCTCCCAGGTTGCTTGGAAATTTATAGGGAGCGCTGAAGTCTTCTAGTCAACACAATGCACCCTCATCATGTATACACTCAGGATCCGGATGCGTCGTGTTCAGGGGAAGAAGATGGTAACCGACGTCTGTTGTGAACCTAGTCTTCGTAATGGTCCTAGTACATCTTCTGGGCTTTATGTGACATGCATGGCCTCATCATTTTTGCTTTTACAAATGAAATGAATTACGTGTTGTCACTGTTGTGTGGGGGGGGGGGAAACAAAAAAAAACAGATTCTCC